TCTATTTATATAAATTCCATTGTTCATTGCGTAGTGCTCCGGTGTAGGGATGGAATCGACTTTCAAAATTTTCAAAACTTATATAAAATCAATAGTTATAATAATTATTTTGAAATTTTCGATAATCAAATCTCATCCCTGCTCCGGTGTGCCAATACTGATAGTACGGAAATTTTACCTGAGACTTAAATAATGTTAATAAGAATAACTCGATTTACCTCCGTAATCTCTTTTGAAATATAATAATTATTTGTACATATACATGGTAATGCATATTACAGTATTATATTCTGTAGCTCACCTACAAGATTTTTCCGACACGTGATTCTAGCCAATTAGATTGAAGGATCAGGTGTAACGTGAAAATCACGTCTTTTTAAAAAATCGCCATTAACTCCTTCTGCGTTCTAATAAAAAAATTCCTCGTGAAATTTTTAGTATAAGCTATGCTTCCTCATCCCTTATCCTAACCTCAAGATGATGCTTCTTCTTTAAAATCTTTCGCTTAATTCGATTGTTTTGATTTTACGTTACACCTGCTCCTTCGATATAATTGGCTAAAAATCACGTACCGGAAAAAATCTTGTGGGTGAGCTACTATTAATACGTATTAAACTTTTATCACGTGATTTATTCATTGGAACAATCAGTACAATCGATTCGTTAAACTATTTTTTTATTAATTAAAATTTGCCCTCAGACCCATTCCGACAAATTGACTAAGGGGCTTGAGAACACCCTAAGTTTATTATAGTTGATTGTACTGTATCTACAGGTTATATAATCAAAAGTATAATTGACTTAGATTGATAATATAATTCAGCTAATCTTATTACCACAATAATATTTAAACATTGACAAAATAATAAATGATACATGAAATTCTATATCGTTTCTAAGGATCTATTAATAATAATCACCAAAAGAACCAATTTCCCTTAGGTTTTCCAAATCTAACAACTTCTTCATTCTTTTTGCTCCATATTAATTCTCTTGTTCTTTGTTCTTTATCAACTTCTTCAACTCTTTGACAAACATTTTCTAATAAATCATCAAAATCATCTCTATTAACGATTTCTTCAAATATATGTTGTAACATTTTTGAATCAGCTTTAATACGTTGATGGTCATCAATCATAATAATATTATCATGATCCATCATTTCTATCCATTTTGGATTTCCAGTAATTTTTCTACCTTCTTCTATTGTGACAGAATGAACTGGGGATTTTACAATTTCACGAATCAATTTCCAAGCACACGAAGCATATTTTTGATCATCAAAAGCACTTTCTTCAAAATCAGGAATTAGACCTATTTGATTAATTAACCAAGTTCGTTCTTCATTTTCTAAATGTTTAGCGGTCTCTAATGGAAATACAAAGCGAAAAGATCATAAAAATAAAAGAATAATATAAAAGAATTATATAGATTAATAAGTTAATAAAATAATATATAAATAATATAAATGTATATAGATTCTACTAAAATTCGAATTTACCGCTAATATTAGGTTCTCTAGCTAATTTATCAATATAAGAAAGACGACCACCAATTCGTTCAACAATTGTTTTCAATACATCTTCAGGCTCCTTTCGTTTTTCTTTTAATAGGTTTACTGCCTCATTAATTTCTAGTTCTCTTACTCTTACAACTTCCATTCGAGATGCATCTCTCTCTTTATTATAAATTACATGTGAGAATTATGTATATTAAATAAAACAAGAAAATAATAAAACGAAATTTTTACTCATGCGTTCATATATTGTATAATCATCTGTGTTAAATACCATTGTCACAATATTAGTAGCAGCCCATGCTTCAGCACGTTGCTGCAATAATTCTAACAAGTCTTCACCATCTTCATCATCTTCTTTAAAAGCATGAAGGTTATTGATAACAAGAACTAATGGGCGATGGCGTCTTTTGTAATACTTTGTGGCAACGATTTCCACCATATTTAAAGCTTTTTCAACATCAAGTAATGCGGAACCTACAATAATCCACCAATAAATAAATAAATATGTATAAATATATATATAATATAGATACAAATATATGTATATGTATTTACATATATATATATATTATATTGTAACAAACAATAAAATTTCACAGGTTACCTCGTTCAGGAGCTTCTCTAGCAAAAAGTTGGCCAACATAATCTTCTCTATAAGTATATCGTAAAGCTTTCCCTAATCTGCATTTAAAAATTTCACTGTCCGAATGAGCTTCAGCAAATACAACACCATACTGATTTATTTTATCCATTGCATTCAAAATTAATTGAGTTTTTCCTGTCCCTCGTTCGCCTACAAGTAAAAAATATTTTCCCGCTCCGTGGCCTTCTATAGCTTTACGAATTGTTTTATATTCATCTCTTTCGAAGAACCCTTTTTTTGCTCTACTTTTTAGTGTTGTTGTGGGTTTTTCGAACGCCATACTTACTTTGTGAATTTCGCTCCATTCGTACCTGAGTAAATCTAAATCAGTTTTGTCTTTTAATTGAAATTGAAATAATTTTTCACCACTTACCATGCTTGATAAAATACACCACCAAGACCAACAGCAGCTAATCCCATTACAGTTGTCAATACAGCATCCATAACTCGAGGCGATAGAACTGGTCGTTTCGTTTTTTGACTACTACTAGGAGGAGGTTTTTTTTTTTGTTTTGGGTCATTATCTTCTTCTAATGCTGTTTCAGCAGATTTTTCTACGATCGGTTGAAATGGATCTATCATTCACATAAAAAAAAAAAGTTTATCTGGAGTTTATTTGAATTTCATTCATGAGTTATTTTTAAATTTCTTTAATAAATTTAATTTGATTTACCCGGGAAAGGATCCCAAACACCTGCAGCATTAGTATCTTGATTCAAACTTCTTTTAAGAATTGGTTGAGAAAGTTCAGGGGAATCATTCTTAATTTTTGGATTACGATATATCAAGTTGAATGTGTTCATATGATTACTGTTATATAAGCGAACGATGACATTCTTTTTTCGTATAAACGTTGTATCATAAAGGCATAACTTTGATGTTTTAATTGTGTTGATTCGATTAATTCGATGCATTGTAGAAATCAATTTCGAGAAAGTTAAGAGTTTGAACAATTCAATTTTTTTGATGATTTCGCATAAGAAAAAAAGAACATTCTATTAATAAAAAACTAATATAAAATTTGTGCTACGTACAAACTTTTGAAAAGTATTATATAAGAATGGTTAAACTGTACGTACGTACGTAAGTAACCGTTATGTGGACTAAATTTTTTTTCTTTATGCAGTTTGTTTTTCAAAAAATAATTAGTAAACCACTATTTTTGTATATGCGTTAATTATTTTATAGTTGATAAAAAGTAATAATGATAAAAAAATTTTCGAAGCCAAATGATGATCATTGCTATCAATAAAACTTAGAGTTAACACCAAAGTTTGTTTTTGGAATATTAAAGATAACATATTTTATCGTTATAGATAAATTTTCCTCGTACGTACGTATGTACATGCCTCAAAATGTGATTGTCGGGTGCATTTCTTTTTATAATCATCGTCATTCTCTGTACTATACATGCTTGCCGTCAGCCAAACAGCTTCGTTATTTGGAATATTATGTAATCAGCCAAAAAAAGAACGCTTACTTGTATCAATGTTAAATAAATCTCTTTAGACTAAGAGCTGCACATTTAATTTAAACCAGGCAATGGTGCATGTTATTAAGCTATAAAGTATAGCTGTTAGGTGAAACATTTTTTGCGAGCGAAACTTAAAACCGGCAAAGGCCGAAATCTTTCTGCCGAAATATGGAAGGTGAAACTTGGTGAAACCTTCGTGAAATCAGCTAAAAAAACGAAGCCTGAAAATATTATCTCATAATTGGCAATTATTCTTTCCGTTATTATATGCAAATGAGTGCAGCAAAACGAAAACCAGTGATTGCTAATATTCGGAAATTTACTTTACAGAAACGAGCTTATATAAGCTCGTTTCTGTAAAGTGAAATTTCGACTCAAATCATATGAGTAGTTCGTTTTTGTATTAACAAAACAAAAGCACCAATCGAAGGTGCAGCCTCTTGGTATTCTGGCTAATCATGTGATTGATGGGACATTGAAAGAGTAAAAATAAACAATTCGTTTTCATTGCAATTGCAAGTTTAACGTATGTACGTATTAAAAGAGATATCTATCTTGAGTAATTTTGTTAGTGTTACCACAAATGAAATTTATTCATATTGAAGCGTAACTACGGTATAAAACATGATAATTTTTATATATCAAAATTTCCTCATATATATCAACTTTAATATGATTTCTCATTAATATCACTATCAACATGATTTAAAATTAGTTCAAATAGGTTGATATAAACGAGGGTGGCCTGTACGTATCGTGTATTTCGAACAAAATTTCTTTAATACTATTAAGAACCTTCTGTTGATAATAAGAATCTTTCAATAAAAATGTAAAGTTTGATTTTATATTCTAGTAATTTAATGTAGTAATTAGTGTAAAATCCCAAATTATATATTTTTGGATTCAAAACTTTCAATAATAAATATATTAAAATTTACAAGAATTTTGTAGATTTCATTATACAACTTCTGGTAATACTAGTAAATATGTTTATATTAAATAATAACTATAATTACAACTATTGGTCTTGAGGGATGGGGTCCCGTAGCCTAGTGGTCTAGGCGTTTCTTCCTTTACAGACAAGGTCAATAGTTCACTTCCAGCTGGAGGCAAAACTCTGTAATCTATGAAAGCATATGAATGTACACAAAACCCTGTGACTTAAGTCCATGTGAATAAAAAATCAGTATATAAGAAAGTTTTTAAAAAAAAGTTTTCTAATATGAAAAGATAGTATTTAATATGAGAGAAGTAGTGAACATACCAAATAGAGAAAAGGCATACTAGCAAGTGATATGGTGAACATAAAAGAAAACTATAGGAAAGGAATGAACTTACTGAAATTCAAATACCTTTGGCATCAAACCAGTTTAGTAGATATAGAATACATTAAATTGGATAAATCTAAGAAGTAATCTTGGTACCATACTTAGTAAGTCTATATCAAGAGTAAATTTGAAGAATTATGAATACTTAGTAACATTCAATAAGGTAATACTTGGATATAAATAGTAATTAGATAGACCTAACCCAAATGTCACTACTATAGATAAGATAAGTATTGCATATATATGCAAAAATAGTATTGAAAATCAGAAAGTTTAAATAGAAAATTCATAGGTGGGTCTCAGATATGACATCTAGTAAATAATCTGTAGACAAAATCTTTAATTAAATAATAACTAAAGTTATATGTATGACTAGTTGTATTTTTGTTAATAGATTATATATATTACATATAATCATATATTATTTAATAAAAGATATGCAAACAAGATTATCATTTCAAACTAAAAAAACTATTGGTCTTAGTTATAGTAGGTTATATAAAAATATATAAAGAAGCATATATATTAATTAGATCACTAGAAATTACTAAAAAAATATATATTAAAAGTCTAATCACAGGTCTATTAAACTATTTAAATTAGTAAATTGAGAAGTTTTATTAGTCCTAAATAAAAGAGTTTAGTAAAAAATAATATTAAAAAAATAAATATTAGAGTTTGAATAAATTTTATAAAAGTAGAAATAGTATATCTGTAATTGTAAATATTAGTCTATATAGTATATTGTATAAAACTAAGTAACTGTATATAAAACATTAAAACTATAATAACAATAATTTAATAATAAACTGCATAAAACAAAATAGTAGAAGCAAATCATTAACTCTTTCTGATGATCACTTGTACCAAAATTCTCTAATAATAAACTGACAATAACTAAATAATTTATTAAGTAAACCTTCCCTGGCCTCCTAAGTAAAATTGTTCACAACTAAATTTTACATATA